ACAGTCCCAGTTCCCTCAGCCGCTCCTCATAAGACTTGTTCTCCAGACCCCTCACCAGCCTCGTTGCCCTTCTCTGGACACGCTCCAGCACCTCAACGTCCTTCTTTAACAGCTTCAAAGCATTACAGTGAGTTGAATTATTCACTGCCTCTGAACACAATTCTGATGTAAACCCCTTTTTAGCTGTATGCCAGATTAATCTAGAAATTCATTGTCACATCTCCTGGAACCCTCCTTGGCAGAACTGAACTGAGCTCCATGCTTAGTGGCCAAACAGTCATTTCCAGCTAGGGGAGACGAGTGAGGGCATTTTTTATAGTGAGTTTACATTGCGTGTCACTGCAATTCCTTTTCTGCCAGTCCTCATACTTAGGGCAGAAGGTGAGACATCTAGATACTGCCTGTGCCATCAATAAATCAGACTACGGGCCAGTCTGTGCAGTGGAAAGAGCACAGCAGGGAATTTTTCCGTTCAGGCTGTAGCAGGCCAGTAAGGTTCTACTCTGCGAGGACAAATCAGTGATAAATCTTCCTCCGCATCCCCATACACTGCTCCTTCTACAGCCTCTTTTGAGCCCCTGTATCCTTCTGTGCACATATTTATGGAATAGGATCGGGGGATCAGAAAGGAACCTTTGAGTAGTGTTGCCTTTTTGTGACTATCCCCACCCTTCCAAACAAGGTGCAAGATGGCACTTGTGCACACAGAGAAGTGCAGGGACATCTTCCCTGTAGGACCCCTTCAACGATTTCTTACTGGCATCACCTCTAACCACTTCCATTTCCAAGAAGCTCTTGAGCAGCAAGCAGATTCTCCCTTTTCCTTTGGAAAGCTGACAAAAACAAATCAGTAAGAAAATTAACTCTTTCCAGAATGACAAAACTGAGTAAGGAAACATTTAAATAGAAGCTGTCATACTAGTTTTCTGAAATGCTGCCCTTCTTGCATGTACTCAGTCTGCATTTCTAGAGGCTTTACCAACTAAATGAAGAGGAGGACAAAGGAGGAAACAAATTCCCTAAGCAGAGATCTTCCAGAACCGCGTATTCGCCCCGGCTGGGTGTGCTGCTCCACCCAAGCAGCTGCAGCCAGGAACGGCTGTGGGGAGCCAGCAGCTGCTGCCAGGCTGAAAGGAGGTTTGTGACCCGCCAAAGGAATTCCTCCCCTCTCACTCAAACTCTCCGCACCTCCTCGCAGTTGCTAGCAGCAGTGTGCACACTTACTCAGCGTTTTTCCCTTAGATAGGTTACACTAGAAAAGCAAAAGCAACAGTGAAAGGGCAGGGCAGGGCAGGGCAGGAGTAACTGTACTTCAACAGTGACGACTCCAGAGGGATTTGTCACATTCTTCTCAGCTGCCAGGATTCAGGAGTGCTCAGGTTACTAACAGGAAAGTTCACAAAGTTCTGTTAGGAATGATGGATTTTGCATCTTGCTTTCCTTGGGTGGGACATACGTTCCCCAAGAGCTACACCAGTTCTGAAAACTTTAGTAATGCAAAGTAATATTGTCCTGCTTTATATAATGTGGAGCTCAAACAAACACCATAGGTGCAGGGTGGTACTGGGCATAATAAGTTGGAGGCTTAAGTACGGCACAGCTGCAGAGTGTTGTGTGTGTATTAGTTTCAAAGTAAAACACAGTCAGCAGAGCAGGGAAACCAGCCCTTGTGTTAATGGCACAACTGTTCTGAAGCTTAATTTGCTCTTGTCCTGAAGCAAGAACAGAGCCAAAGAGAGTAAAAATAGCTAAACACGTTATTAGCACGATGACAATTATGACTAAGCTCATACCAGATATCCCTACTCTCCTCCCACACCCATCTCTATTATGTTCTCAGCTCTTGATAGTAAAGGAGAAGGTATGCAAAAGACTTGAGATCACTGCTCAGGTCAGAGACCACCACCTTGAGCATAGTTCTGCACACACAGGTAATGTATCATAATTAAGGGTAATGGAAATTGAACATGGGCACAAGATGTTGGTGTCTGTACAGTTTCCAGACTCAGGTCTGAACCATGAAAGTCAGATTCAGCCCTGACATGAGCAGGTAAAAAAATTCAGAAACTTTAGTGGAATCATATCTGCCTTTCACCCCTGTTCAGCAAGAGCACTGAGCATTTGCTTAACTTTGAACATGTACATATATTCACCAAAGATGACAGGAATAATCACATGCTAAGATAGCCAAGTGTTGCTGCAGGAGCTATAGAAGCAGATATTTTTAATGCTTTTTTTTTCAAATGCAGCTAGATGGTGCTGTACAGTTTCAAACTATATTAATGAATTTTTGTTAATTACTTTTGTTAGAAATTTTTTTTACATTCTTATACGTGTATTTAGAGGAAGGAGGTAAAAGAGTAAAAATATAAATGAAGCAAATATATTGCTGTGAAGTGTTTTTACAAATACTCTCACTGACATTTTTGCGATTCTCTTGTCAGACATCCATTTTCATTTTGTTATCAATTTCTCTTTTACAAAAACCTACTACATGATATTATGTACATTCATCCTACATTTGGTCTTTCTGTCTGCACAAGTTACAAAGGTTCCAATGGTGTAACTGGAGAGAAATTTGACTTACATATAGTTTGTACATGGGAAGAAAAGCAGTCATATTCTTGTTGTTAGAAGTCTGTATTAGTATAAAGACCCATATCAAACTGCATTTTCTGTATATAAAGACAAAAAAGCACTTTCAAGACAATTCTAATAACCTTTAATTTGGTGAGCGATTGTAATAATGTCTATTATTACTTTTTGAAAAGTGATGTTTTGGTAAAATACAATTAAAAATTATTTGTTCTGAAATAAAAGCATGGAAAAAGAGCACCTCAAATTCTCAATCATTACAATCTTCTTCCATTAATTTTACTGAGATAGTATGTTTAAAAAAACCCAACAACATATTTAGCAAAACCAACATTCAAAGTATGCAGAGAGAAAACCAAAAAGCTGGCCGTTAATTTGAGGTTTTCATGACTGCTGCCTCTAAAAGATGACAAATCCTTTGTGAGCACATCTCCCTTCTGGTAAATCTGCTCTGCTCATCCAGATCTCTATTTCAGACCTAAAGGTTTTAAAGATGTATGTGTCCCTTTGCTACCCACAAAGTCTTCTAGAGGTCATTGAGATGCTCCAGCCTGTTTTCATCACTAATGTGTTTTCTCTCAGTCATTCTCCTCCAGACTTGGAAGAAAAAGTGCATCACTCGTCACTTGTGGCTCATCAAGCCATGACATATACTCTGCTACTCCTCCTCAGGGGGCATCTAAGTGTGAGGATTTTTCTTAGGCTTCTTTTTGCATTTTACACAAGTCACTAACATTTCAAAACATTACAGCAACTTATGGTTCTCTAATAAAATAAATCATCAGAAAAGTTCAGCCAATTGGCGTCATTAGCCCAGTAACAAACGTGCTTCTACCTGCTGCAAAGAAATGTCATACTGTATTTCTAAATGCAGTATGAACAAATGTTACCCTAAAATAACCACAGATTATGGTACAAACCCAAAGGCAAAAGGACTGAAGGCATGAAACAATAATTCCACAAAATTATTATTATTACTATTTCCACGGGGGATGGAAGTAAGGATGGGTAACCTGGGAGGAATACAGAGACACTGTCCGAGTATGCAGGGATGAGGTTAGGAAAGCTGAAGCCCAGTTGGAATTGAATCTGGCCAGGCGAGTCAAAGACAACAAGAAGGGCTTCTGTAAGTACCTAGGTGACAATAGGAAGGCTAGGGAAAATGTGGGCCCACTGCTTTTCCTATCAGGAGAGCTGCGACTGTTCAGCTTGGGGAAGAGCAGGCTCAGGGGGATCTCATCAATGTATATAAATACCTGCAGGGAAGGTGCAAAGAGGAAAGAGCCAGGCTCTTTCCAGTGGTGCCCAGTGACAGGACCAGAGGTGATGGGCACAAACTGACACACAGGAGGTTCCCTCTGAACATCAGGAAACACTTTGTCACTGTGAGAGTGACAGAGCACTGGCACAGGCTGCCCAAGGAGGTGGTGGAGTCTCCATCCTTGGAGGTATTCAGAAGCCATCTGGACATAGTCCTGGGCAACCGGCTCTAGGTGACCCTGCTTGAACAGAGGGGTTGGACCAGACAACCTCCAGAGGTCCCTTCCAACTTCAACCATTCTGTGATTTTGTGAAAGTTACCATTTTTAAAGGTACTTAGAACTGTAACTGCAGCATTTACAAGGCCACCAACAATGGTGTTATTCTCGACAAAATGTATTTCGTTCACACTGTTCCTGAGAGAAATAGGTTATTTATTTTCTCTTAAGGAAGCTGAGTAATATGCCATGCAAAACACATCATCATCAGTGGAGTTGTCCGTAACAGAAGAAACACAATTGTTAAAACTTTTTATTTCCTTAAGGCAGTGTAAAGGAAGTTACATACCTATCTTGTACAATATGAGCCATTATATAGAGCTGAAACTTAAGAAATAGAACAATAAACAAAACATCCACAAAAAATCATCTCTGGAAAGTCTTCAAATCAGAGGTATTCATGTAAGATGTGAATGTGATTTTATTTTAATCCAAAGGCAAAGGGTGCAAGTTATAGAGTTGGGATCAGAGTCAAGAACAACTCTGTATGTTCTGCCTTTATCTTCAGTGAAGCATGAACATCATCTACTATGCAAACCAAGTTAAACTGAGAATTAATCAGTGATAGTTGCTCAAGATTTATAAACAGACACAGAACAGAATTTGGTCCTTACACTACTATTATAGCTGGTAAGAAAGACACCAGGTCTGTAACTCCTGACAGATGGCCATTTTGTGTTCTGTTCAATGCTAGTTTAGAGAAAAAAAATGAAATGTTCTATTTATATAAACTTTTTGGTTACCCTTACCTAAAACAATGGTTAATCTTGACATAAAGTAACAGAGCTACTAATTGTACCTGGTAAAAATTTGGATGCATTGAACTAAAGGCTCCTGAACAAAATAAAAGAGTATCCTTGGCGTTACCTGTCGCAGTAACTCCTCCTGACGCATCCTAATTCGCTCCCTCTCCATCTGGATTCTCTGGAGCCTTAACTTTTGCTGCTGCTGTTGCTGTGTGGTCAGTGCACTGGGCAGGCTCAACAGTCCTGGCTGCGGAGTCTGGGGAGGACGACTCTGCTGCGACATGGCTGTGCTGGGTGTTATTTGGTGCTGGTGATTCATGACTGTGGGAAAGAAAATAAATCATGGCTGGTTAAGTAGAATTGTACTTTAAGATAGCAGAGGACCTAGGACACATGTTGCTCATTTACAGTGAGTATAGAGTTATTAGAATTATTGTATTTCAAATGACCGAGATAACTACTCCATCTGGCAAGATCTGGTACTAGTAATTGCTTAATAAATGATTTTTAATATTTCATATGTGTATAAAACATGAATACTTATAATACAGCAAGTATTTATATTCATCCCGGTATGTTCAAATATTTACCTAATGATATGTAGTAAATGACATACAAGTTTTTTTTAAATGAGAATTCCTCTACAAATGTGTGCCTATGATATGCAGTAAGCTAGTAAAAATGTTTTAAATCTTGACATTTTCTTTACTGACAGATCTAAATTAATTATTGTAAGAATAATTACCAGCATAAATAATGAGCACTGAGTGTGTTTTCCACCACTATGAAGGAGATACACACTTTTTTCAATGACACGGAGATGAGAGATGTTCCAGTTAAGAAGCAAACCTCGTAGGGGGTCCTGTTCCCTGGCAGGCTGTAGCCTTCCTGTATTATCATGGATGAGTCACAATCTCTGTGTACTTATCTATAAATGAGGGCTATTATTATTCTTATATCTTGCAGAAGTGTTTTAAGCACTCCTTACCTCACGGGCACTCACACATTACAGTAATGAAAAGCAGCTTGAGAACTGTAACCGAAGAAAAAAAGTTCATCTAATGAGATCCAGTGACAAGGTGGACTGTCAGAAGTTACAAAAGCAGCGCAATAAAAAGACACCAGAAACTATCACAAGCTACATCTTTCCGTAATATCCTTAACGTACTCTCACTTACTTTTTCAAAGCAGGTGAAATGCAAGGAAAAGATAATTAAATTGAATCTGTACCACATTCATAAATAAAAAAGCAAAGTAGTGAGAATCATTGCTAACTTTTCTTGATAGGTGTCTTTGTCTCTTTTGAACAAACACTGCACTTTTTTCCAAATGGCCTCAGCCATTCCGTGTTTCAGGGTGCAGTCAGTGTAAAGTCAGCTATCTGAGTTCACAGTATGAGAATTACTATCAACAGCAAAACAGTGTAATTGCAAGTTATTAATAGAATCATACCAGTTTCATTCTCAAACTCAGCAAAAATCTTTATCAATCTTTTACTGAAAGAACTGCCCAAATTCACTGCTGCTTTAGACAGTTACATCAGGCAAGAATCAAGTTTAATGAGTTCTTAAATGCAAGCCTGTATAAAATTAATCCAAAAAAGATGACAAGTTCAGGCCTCAGGAGTTACGTAAGTCAGGTAAGGCTGAATTTACAATTCATGGTTTCATTTGCAAACGAAAAAGATGTAATGAATTAGAGATTAAGGTGTCTGGTTTTAGACCTGATTTAACACAACAGAGGGATTTGTAACTCTCGTGAATTCTGGATATGCAAGCACCATACTGTATAGTTAATGTCTTACAAAGAAAACCAAAATAGTCTTTTGTACATTTGATTAACATCCAAAACCTTATCTGTTGGGGTATTCAGATTTGGAAATGAACCATTAATTCCCCACCTTTGGTAGGATATTCAAAAGGTTCGTCTGGGGAATAATTCCATAGATGGCAGGTGAGAAATGGGACCTTTTGTAAGCAAACCTGATTTATACCCATGTAAACCAGCTAAACCCTTTCACTTGCAGACAGAAGACTGCTGCTCAGACAGTTAATGTTGCTTAGACTGTTAATGTTACTTAAATCAACATAATCTTCTGGTCAAATTCAGAAACTATAAATCAGAGCAGAATTCTCTGTTGGATGGGCATTTTTATTGAGAGAACTGTTATGAAAGAAATTGCAAGTCTTTGTGTAGCTCCACAGGCACTCTGGTAATCACGCCACAAAGCTAAAATAATCATTTGGCACCTTTGACAGCAGGCATCACTTGGCCATGGAAACAGAAACACCCCTTCTCTCTAGAAATGTTTCCCTCTTAGTAGCAGGCTTGGAAAAAAACAGGAGGAAAACGAGGCAGAGAGGGGTAACTGCATAGCCTCTGCTTATACCTCCTTTTTCAGTAAAATATATCAGTTCCCAGCAACGCAACCTAATACCTTTTGTGAACCACAGAGTGAACAGTTCCTTCTTTTCCTTCCCCACCTCCACATTTCCAGTAAAAAACATATACAGTATCTAAAGCCAGTCTGGATTACAAGTGGTAGCCATGTACTGCTTTAAAAATTAATTGACATTTTTGCAAAGACTCTTTCACTAATGAGGCAACAGCATAATTAACAAAGCTCTTATCTTTTAACAAGAACACCTCAGATACTAAAATACTCTCTAGAAGAGATACAATATTTTTCTGTCCAAAGGACTAAGACTTGTATCTTCCTTTTTATCTTCCACTCATTGTTCTTACCATGTGAGAACTGAAATCTCAACTCAGTTCTATGCTTCTCAGATCTGAACATATTTATGCTATGTACATGTCTGACCTCAAAGGATACAGTACAGCAAGCACTGTTAGAAGTGTGCATTGGAAGAAATGGGTTGATGATTTTACAGCCTGGATCAAATGTGTGATACCCATACAATGCAAAATGCTGAACTTAACTCACTCTGGCAGTTCCAAGTTAAAATTTTTCTTGAAAGGCTGACTTTATGCTAGCCAGCTTTCTGCCAAATCAGGTACTGCCTTGCCTTTCCGCAAATGGAGTAAGGCAGGTACACAGGCATTAGGCCAGCACAAACTTTGCCCTGCTTCATTTGACAGAAATATTTACATGTGCTCACATCAGATCTGAATCAAAGTTCTCCTTCTGGGTGATCCAGTATCACACAGGTCCAGCATGTAAAGACTACGGAACCATTTGAGAGTGCAGCTGCATGATATTTTAGCTTCAGTGGCAAATCCAGCTCAAGAAATAATCCAAGTTAAAAGCAGCGCTGCAGTAATATAACCTTTTCACAGATTCAGTTTATGTGTGATCCACAAACAGCTGTATCCACACAAACAACATCATGCTTCCACATGAAACCAGAGTGTTGCCGTTTATCACCTCTTCCACACCCAGCTGCTTGTTCCTGCCCACGTGCTACCCCTTTTCCAAGCTGGCAAAAGCATTTTTGTGGCCACACAGCCAACTAAAAATTGCCTGGGGATAAAAAGAAGATATTTTCTGGCTAGATCAGTTCCCAGCAAGAGTAACTGGGTAGCCATGAAAATGCTTATGTGCAACCAATGTACGAGTCCAGGTGGGAAAAACAAGCTGGTTGCAGGAAAGACGGACCAAAGCCGGCACTGATCAGTAACTTTTCAGTAGTAAAAACCCAGAAAGGTTAGCAAGCTGTAGTGCTGAGAGGGGAAAGGTAGGAATGAGAGCTGGGTGCAGAAATCAAACCACTTTCATAATGGGAAAACAATATATGGAACCACATTTTAAGATACAGTGAATCTAGTCTTATTCACGTTAAAATAAGTAAGAAATATTAGAAGTACAATTATATAAATTATATCAGTGTAAATCTGGTGTTAAATTGCCAGGGCCATAAGCACTTAGGCAGGAATTTAACTCTTCTCATATCCATAAGCATGTGCTTGAATTTTTGGCATGTCAATGGTCGAATGAACAGAACAACCATGCTAAGAATCCAGGCTGGCTGAAGGATTATCACAACATAGTAAGTTCGCCATTCAAAAACTGCTTTCATCTAAGCAGCACATGCAAATGTTAGAACCAGGCAAAGTTAAGTAAAGATTAATAGCCTGTACGGTGCATCTGGGATACACTCAGGGCTAGTTGTAGTACTATTTGTCATGGCTATTTGTTGCCTTTGCTATATAAAATACTCCCTTCTTCTTCATCAGCTGATCGATACCCATGCTGTATCACAGCTGAAATTATACATGCAAGAAGGCAAAGAACAAGACAGTATAAAAATGCTGAGGAATACTTCTCCCTGAGCTATGGTCCCCAATAAACCTCCAAGTCATTTCTTCTCATGGGGACAGACAGAATATTTTGGTCCAATGAACTCTGTATCTTGGAGTAAATTACTTTTCTTTCAAGCAATACTATCCATTGTTACATACCATCAAAGAACTACAAGAAGCTCAGTACAATCAGTAAAGTAAGCATTCTCACACCTTGGACATTAGGAGTATAGAAATTACATCACACTGAATTTCCTACAAATCAAGTATGCCGTGTGTGATCATATTTCTAAGAAACAACAAAAATCCATTCTACTTCCAAAAAAAGTTATTTACATCATCTGGGTTTGATAAAGCTATAGCTGTGGCAAAGTTTTACAAGTTTCAGTGCAGGAAATGCACAGAAGGCAAAGGAGTAGGTAGGAGCCATCCTCAGTCTGTTCTACCACCTGCATTATTTGGCTCTGCTCCTCTTTCAATCAGTGCCTTTCTCCTCAGAGGTTTGTAGGTCTAAATCTCTGGACACAGGTCCACAGAAAAATAGATCTGTTCAAAACTACCACTAATTGGAATGGCTTTTAAAGAACCATTGATTTGGGTCATAGAGACAAACTTACCGAAGGTCATTTGAACTCACTGACACTACATTTTTCTCCAGCATACACTGCTTCAAGAAAAAATGGACTGAGATAACTCTCCAGTCAGTTTAAATACCAGACATCTACTTTAATAGCAGCCCAAACTGGATAGACTCAGAAACTTTAAGTATAGAGGAGTCATGTATCTGTGCTTTCAAACAAGTATAGATAGTTTTGTCAAGGTATCTGGATAGAGTATGTTTTTGATAAAGTCTAACTTAAAATGAAGCATTAAATTGATATGGTGATAAAATCGATTTTCTTTATTTAATATCACTGAAAACCAGTTTATAAATACACAGATGCTAAGGCCCAGGTTTTGATCCTACTGACTGCATAACAGCGTCATTCCACTTGAATTATTCTTGAGTGCAATCACGGTAACGTCCCATAAGCAAATTTAGGACATATGTGGTCTACTTT